ATGGTTCAAGCATGTCATCTTGCCTACTTTGGAGGAATGTAACTTGAGGTGTGATGATCCAATTGAGGAAAACTTGGTATCCTTGGAGAGGCCTCATGTCCATGTACAACTTTCATGTTGGACCAAAGTTGCGTAGATGTTTGGATGTTAAGATACAAGGGAGTGAAATTGTGACATCATCACTGCCTAAAACTTAGAAAAATTTCTAAGTCTTTGCCATATTGCAAAATGTGGACCCCTTGACTTTAGCTTCAAATATCCCACACTTGGAGAATGATTATTTCCTCAAATCTTGCACCATAATGTAGTATAAAATGAGGTCTTTAATGTCAGCCCTTGTTTGTCTATTTTGGAGGTTTGAGTCAAACTCCATAACCTTGGAAAGTTTACTAGATGATCATGATTTTAGCACATTTCTTCATTTGTAAGCTTTCTCTTGGTGAAACTTGATCAAACTTCATACTTTCATGATTCTTGACTTGAAATGCTTATAGTTGACCAAAGAACTCATAAGTCAAACTTTGACTTTAAACCTCAGTTGACTTTTTGAAGTTGAATCCAAATCTTCAAGTATCAATATCTTAATCTTCTATATTCAATATAATCATAATAATAGACCACCATGAGGTGTTTGGAAACCTTGGATTATGTGCTAAGCCATGAGATGATGATATGGTCAATGCCTAGTTGACTTTGACCAAAGACCCTTCTTTGGTAGCTTGTGATGAAATAGCATTTGATGACCTTGTGTCCACATGAGCCACCACTTGTAAAGAGATGAGAAATACTTGAGATAAGATCTTTGATCCAATGCTTTAAGAACCCATGCAAATAAGTGATTGAGGTTATGATCTAATAGAAATGAACATAAATGAGAAGTAAAAGTCAATTAGGGGTTAAAAGTAGTGAGGGCAAATTTTAAGATACAACAATATGTTACATTCTCTAGATTTAGAATAAAGTTGTAACTTATTTTTCTTGCATTTCTAACTATTATATATAGATTAAAGGTAATATAACATTAAATACTTGTCTTTTATTGTGTACTTATTGTTGCTAAATGTTTTACCAGCCAAAATTGTTTATTTGTATTGTTGACTATATTATTCACTGTACTTTAACACTAGCGTTTAAATGGTCACTCTGTACCCGTTTGTCCACTTTTTTTATTACGCTAACATGTGCAGTTTTATTAATGGTGTTTTTGACATATATTTCATTAAAAATAATATTACTTAGGAACAATTATAAAAAAAAATTATATATATATATAATGATACATATTAACTTTAATATGTTTTAGTAATGTCTTCAGACCAATTTAGTACTAAAAAAGTTATCTTCAGACCAATTTAACAATGCAAATGTCAACTTAAAATTAACTTAATAATCTAAAGAGTAGAATGTAAAAATTAAAATTTATCAATAAATTAAATGTTACATAAAATAATATTATTTACATAATTAGAAAAAATAAAAGTAAGAAGACAACCAATGTATATTGTTTAATGTCTTAAATTTTTAATAATATCACAATGTAGAAATCATACAAATTATAAATGGATATAAAATAACAAAAAATTAATATTCACATATTTTACAATAAAGGACATTAATAATGTTACTATTATTTTTCATGCTTGATGTTGTGTTCAATAAAAAAAATGCATATTTAGAAAAGAAAATAATGTGGTAGTTGTTATTTGTTTTTGTAACTTACCTCTTTCTTATAACTTATATGTGGATGTTGTCACTAATGCGTGTTTCTTCTCTCTCTCTCTCTATCTATCTATCTCTCTATCTATCTATCTATCTATCTATCTATCTATCTATCTATCTATCTATCTATCTATCTTTCTCTTTGTCTCTCTCTAACTCTTTTTTTATATCACTCATTAGTTTCTCTACCTCTCTATATATCTCAATCTCCTTTGCACATGACACTCATTTGTTCATCTTTCTTTGTTTTGTTAAGTAGTTAATAACTGGTTATCATTAAACAAAAAAACATGATGAAAACATAAACCCAAATACCTTCAATCTTTAAACGATATTCAACCCTTAATATTATTCATAGCCTTAGACTTGACATTATACAAAAAAACAAAAAAAAACTCTAAAGCCTATATTTAACATTGTCTGATACAAACTGTAGTTTTGTTTGTGAATGTGAATCTTATAGATGACAAGATTAGAGATTAATCTCAATAACAACCTACACAATTTAATTATCATATATTTTTTTGGATATTTTAAAAATGATCAATTATTTTCTGATGCATTGATAAAAAAAATTTAAAAAAACATATAGTTCAAGTTTGTATTCCTGAGGAGTTGAATGGTGGTATAGTAAATGACTTGATAATTAGTAAAATATACAGTGATATACAATGATTTGTAACAACTCTAAGTTTCTACAAAACATTTTTTTATGTTTATACTGTAGGTAATCACAAAGACACATTGTCAGTATACACAATTCACATAATTCAAAGATTCAATAATAATAGAAAGAAAGACAAAATTGCATGTGAAAGAGAATTTAGTAGAAATTAACAATTCGTGAGAGAGAGAAAAATAACTTGCAAGTGAAAGAGAGATAATTGTTTAGGAAGTTAAAGATAAGGATGTTAAAAGATTGTTAAAATTTTAAATTGAGAATGAAACAGTTATTATTTACTAAAATTATTTTGTATATGTGGTTGGTTTTAAAATAACAGTTAAAGGTCAAATATGTAACAATATAGGTTAGTCCAAAATGTTATATCGTCATTATCTATAGGTATAGATAAGTATAGATTAATGTTTATGTCACATTGTAGAAATTATAATTTAAAAATTGAGATATTGTTTATATTTTAAAATTTTTGCAAATTACACAGGTAAAATTGGAACAATAATAGATAAAAATTCAAGAGAGAAAACCAAATTTTAAAAAAAATTAATAAAAATAGTCATTCTTATTTGATCATAGAAATTAGAACGCACTTTTTTTTTCTTTCGTAAGAGATAATGATTCATTTTTCTTCTACAATGGAGAGAAAAATTAAAGTATTAGACATTAAAAAAAATCCAATAATCTCAATTTTCAAACCCCAATTTCATATATGGATTTGTTTATGTAAAAAGAACAAAACAGTAAATGAAAATAAATAAAAAATCAAATCAAAAAATTAGATTGAAGAATCAAAATGCCCTAATAATTAAATGTAACAGAAATCATTGTGTGATTCACAATCCATGTTATGGCATTTGCAAATTGTAGATTTCCCTTTTCTACCATCATCATGAACATTGTCTGGATTCCAATTTTCCTCGTGCAGTCTCCCTTCTTCTCCATTTTTGACTTCTATGGACCCAATGAGTTAGAAATGAAAAACATAAATTATAAGGAGAAGCTATTTAAATATAGTTTTTAATTAGAAGTTAAAGTGAGTTTTCTTTTCAAATAACTAATTACTTTGTAATTCAAATATAAAATGGAGAAAATAGTTAATTTTTATTTATGTAACTTCTAAGTAGTTTTAAAGGGTAAAAGAGAAAAGAAAATAGGCTACTAAAAAGATGTTTTGCCTTTATATATTGTTATAGAAATATAGTTTTTAATTAGAAGTTAAAGTGAGTTTTCTTTTCAAATAACTAATTACTTTGTACAATATTCAAATATAAAATGGAGTGAATAGTTAATTTTTATTTGTGTAACTTTTAAGTAGTTTTAAAGGGTAAAAAAGAAAAGAAAATAGGCTACACCAACAAAAAAATGTTTTGCCTTTATATATTGTTATAGATTATACTTAATTTATATATTTTAATTTTTTTCCAACGAGTAGTTATTTACTTTATTGTTCATTGTATTATAACATTATTCTTATTATATATTATTATTATAATTATTATTATTATTATTATTATTATTATTATTATTATTATTATTATTATTATTATTTATTTTGACCATTATTCTTCACTGTATTGTAACATTACTCTTATTTTAAACATTGTAATTTATTTTCAACTAATACTATTCATTTTATTGCTCTTTCTAGTTCAATATATTATTTAGTGTATTTACCGTTATTCTTATTTTATATATTGTAATTTATTTAATATATTGTTTATAAAATATTATTTATTTTATATATTATAATTTATTTCTAATTTTTCTTAAAAATCTATAAAATAAGAATAATGCTAAATTCATTTAACAATATATTGAAGAGTAATTAATTGAATAATACTGGTTGAAAATAAATTACAATATATAAAATAAGAATAATGTTACAATACAGTGAACAATACTAGATAGAAATAAATTATAATATATAAAATAAGAATAATGTTACAATACATTGAACAATGTTGGTTAGAAATTTTTTTTTTTAAAGAAATTAATATATATATATATATATATATATATATATATATATATATATATATATATATATATATATATATATATATATATATATATATATATATATATATATATATATATATATATATATATATATATATATATATATATATATATATATATATATATATATATATATATATATATATATATATATATATATATATATATATATATATATATATATATATATATATATATATATATATATATATATAAACTGCACCACTACTTTCTTTAAATGCCAAACTCAATCTTCTCACAATCCATTGAATCATATAGTGAACAATCCAATGAATAATACTGGTTATAAATAAACTACCATATATAAATTAGAATAATGATACAAAGTGAACAATAAAGTGAATGTGTGATTTTTTTTCATATTTTGTTTTTCATTTTTCTAATATTCTTACCTGTCTAATTTATAAGAGACTTGTTACTTTATATACATTAAATAATCAAAGTATTTGATCTATATATAATTCAAATACATTGTTTATTCAATTAATCTAAAAAATTCTCTCTTATAAATATAATCAGGAGGAAGTAAATCTCAAATATATTCATTAACATTCAGTAAAAGATGTCTGCAAATTTGGCTGGAGGTGTCCAATGCACATTAAATGTGCCTTTACTAGGAGATGCCATAGATGATGATGAGAAGAGAGTTGTAGCCTCTGATTCTCCAAACAAAAATGAAGCATCTTTTTTTCATACATGTCTTAATGGAAGCAATTCCATTGCAGGTATCATTCTATAATCCTTAACATATACTTAATTCAAATATAGGATTTCTAATTATTTTAAAAAATGTTGATGACGTTTTATATGACTTTGATATTATAGGTATTGCAGCACAATCAGTTGCATATGCATTAGCCTCAGGAGGATGGTTAAGTTTAGCACTATTTTTTTCTATTGCTGCAGTAGCATTTTACACTGCCTTATTAATGAAAAGATGCATGGAAAAACATTCCAACATTAAAACATTTCCGGACATGGGTGAACGTGCATTTGGAAAAACAGGAAAATTAATAGCAGAAATATCAATGTATACTGAGCTCTACATGGTTTCGATAGGTTTTTTGATTCTTGAAGGAGACAATTTGAGTAACTTATTTTCTATTCAAGAGTTTCAAGTGGCTGGTATATCAATTGGTGCAAAGCAATTCTTTGTGATATTAGTTGCACTAATTATTTTTCCGACGATTTGTTTGGAAAATCTGAGTTTGATTTCTTATGTATCTGCAAGTGGTGTCTTTGCTTCTGCAGTTATTGTATTGTCAGTAGCATGGACTGCAGCATTTGATGGAGTTGGTGTTCATCAAAAGGGTGATTTATTAAATTGGAATGGTATTCCTACAGCTGTTAGCTTGTATATGTATTGCTATAGTGCACATCCCATTTTTCCAGTTCTCTACACTTCCATGAAGAACAAACGTCAATTCTCAAATGTAAGTGCTTTTGCTTTTTTTCTTTTCAATTATTTTTTTAATTTTCATAATTATGACAGTGAAAATTTTCATATATATCATTGATACCTTAAATAACAATGTATTTATGTTTTTCCTTTACATTGCAGGTCCTGTGTGTATGCTTTATGTTTGCAACAGCTACTTTTGCGTCAATCGCTATAATTGGTTACTTGATGTTTGGTTCAAAAGTTGAATCGCAAATAACATTAAGCTTACCGTTAAATAAAATAAGTTCAAAAATAGCGATTTACACAACCTTGGTGACTCCATTGTCTAAGTTTTCTTTGATGATATTACCAATTACAAACGCTTTAAAAGAGTTACTTCCAAAGAGTTACAAGAATAATAAAATGGCCAACATCTTTTTGAGTATTATTCTTCTAATTAGTATGGTGATTGTTACATTGGCTCTTCCATTTTTTGGATCTCTCATGGCATTGGTTGGAGCATTTCTAAGTGTCTTGGCTTCTTTTCTGCTTCCTTGCTCGTGTTACTTGAAGATTTCTGGAACTTACAGAAACTTTGGGTTTGAAACAATGGCCATAATGATAATAATATTGGTAGCTATATTAATGGGAATATGTGGGACATATACTTCAGTTGTTGAACTAGTACAAAAGTCTTCTAACAAATAGCAGAATTATCCATCCATGATTGTATTGATGGTGTAAGCATTAGAAAGTCAATAGTTTTGGTATGTATCGAATTATTTATAAATAATAAAAGGTATTTATTTGTTATGTTTGCTTAATAACACACTAATTTTGATTTAATTATGAAATCCTATTAAATATAAGAATATTAATTTTTAAAGTATTTATAGTCACTATTATAAATAATATATTTTATTTTGAATTTTTTAAAAATAACTTATTTTTTTAATTAAAATATCAAATAAACTATATTTTCAAATTAATTACGCAAATAACCATGTTTCAGACTCGCCTAAAGAGAATGTGCCATTTGAAATGGCGCATCCTTTTATTTTTAAACTCATGTGCCAATCGATTTGGCATGTAGAGAGTCATCACCATTTAATTTTGCATTAATGCGCCATATCAAATGATGTATTTTCTTTATTAATTTTTTTTTAAAGATGCGCCATATCAATTGTTGTGTTCTCTTTTTCTACTTGCTCTTCTCTTTTTTTACGTGCTTCTATTATTAACCTTTTATTAAAAATAGATGTTCATTTGATGAACTCCAAACAATCTGCAATAGCTTCTGCATAGAAAGAATTATTTATTCCATAAGATGAAACTCTGCAATCACCTTGATTCTTGATTCTTTCCTCTTTCATTAAACAATTCCTACTATTGTTGTTGTTGTTTTTTCTTTTCAATTCACTTTTACTGCTTCAACAACCGAAAAGTTTATGGATTTGGACTGTTTTGGAACTCTGAACGGTTTGGTATTGGAAAGGGAAAGGAGTTTTTGAACCTTTGAGGTTTTTATATGTGACCTGGATTTAGCTTTAAAATATATCTTAAATAAAGTTTAATAATGGAAGCAAGTAAAAAAAAAAAAAAGAGAAAAACAAGTAGAGAAAGAGAACAGAACAATTCATGTGAAATTCATTTAGTATGGCGTATGAATGTAAAATTAAATGGTGTCACTTCACAAGCCAAATCATCAATGGATGCGCCATTTTAAATGGCGCCTTCTCTTTAGGTGAGTCTGAAACATAGTTAATTTGAAAAGATAATTTATTTAGTATTTTAATTTAAAAAAATAGATTATTTTTATAAAAAAAACTTTTATTTCAACGGTTTCACCTCATTTAATAAAAAACTGAGGTGTATATCATAAATGCACAGTGTTATTTTTTTTTAATAAAAAATACAACTCATTCTGTTGATTTCTATATATAACCAAGAGATAAAATAAATCTGGGTACATACTTCGAATCACAGCAACTACAGATTATGTTTTTATTTTTTTAAACGTGTTGCATTCCTGCATATTTTATTTTTATTCCAAAAATAATCCATATTTCACCTCTGTTATGTCTCCTAACAAAGGGGAAACAGTTTACTCTTATTATATATAGCTTGGCTTGTTCAATTCAATTTTATTTGGCAAAAACAACACACAACACACACAAAAATTCTAACAAAGAGCCCTAAACAACGATAGCTCTAACATATATCATTGTCCAGAATGATGATATGTGTTTATGGCTCTCGTTTATTACTTGCGAAAATGAAAGAAAAAATAATTTCTTTCACTTCTTATTCACATATTTGGTACGTCAAACATCACTACCCATGTCACATTGTTGTTGTTGTTGTCATCATCATTGTTGTTGTTGTTGTAGTCGTTGTTGTTGTTGTTGTTAAAAACTTAAATCCTAAAGGTTTAATGTTGTTTTTTTTTAAACTAAAATTGAATGTTAAACGTTGTTAATTTTGTTGAAATAAGTATGTTGTATGTTTATTGTTGATGTTTATGTGATTTTGTTGAGAGATTGTTTTTTTAAGTTGTTGTTTAGTGTTGTTGTTGTTGTTTAGATTGAAATTGAATGTTAATGTTGTTGTTGTTGTTTATTTGTTGATGTTGTTACTGTTGTTGTTGTTTAGTTGTTCTACCTCCACTAGTACAAGAATATCATTTTAGCTGAGGTTGTTTAGTCAGTTCACCTGTCACCTTGTCCCAACGCGAAAAACAGAGCCGCCACTGAATGTTATTTATCCTGGAGGGGAAAAGAAAACGATCGAAGAAACCTCAAAAAGGGAAACGAACATGGTCTCACAACCAAATCCTGAGTTCGGGAGTCGATTGCGAGAAAGGAAGGTGTTAGAACCCTTCGCGTCCGTTGTACTCAACGAGATCCACTCTTGTTGTTCTAATCAAATTGTGTGTTTGTCTAAAGCCTATATGCTAATAGAAACGAAAAGGAGAAAAAACAAAAGGAGACTCAATAGGAATTCGTCGTCCTATGCCTACGTATTCCGTCGTGCAATGAGAAAGTCACAGTCAATGTAGTTCGGAGTATTACGGGTGAATGAGGGGAAGGGTTGCTCGCCAAGACTTCGCCGTTTTGTGCCTATGTATCTTCATTCGGACGAGAATGAAGAAATCAGAGCGTTCGTAGTTCGTGGGACTACGGGTTGCTTAGTGCCTTTTATGAGCGATGTTATGTTTGCATTCTACTAGTTAGGGACAAGGTCTGTTTGTGGTATAATAGAAGTAACATGCCTTTTCTGAAAAAGGTTTGAGAGAAAATTCCAAAGGACAAAATGGTTTGCATTTGTCAAGGATTTTAAAGAAGTGAATTGACTTGTTTGAGATGCATATTACACTAAAGTCTTTTAGATATGAGCGAATGCTTTGCAAGATCGCCCCCAAACGGGACGTATGCTAAGCACTCTAGAAGAAATAAGGAGAGACTCTTACTCATCATTTACCATGTAATTAAGGCTTGTGACGCATAATACTCATCGTATTTATTACGTGTTTTGATTTGATTCAAGAGAGATAAGATAAAGATGCACGGAAGGTCTAAGACGAACTCGGTTCTACATGTTATCATGCAAAATGGTCATAAGGTTGAGATGCGAAAGGAATCTCTATCCTAATGTTAGCATGCAAGGGTGGAACTAAGGTTGAGGTTAGAGAAACTATCCTAATGTTATCATGTATGGATTAGCACCTAACGTCGATTCTACTCCAAGCTTAATATAAAAATTAAGTTGGACTAGGAGGCTTAAGAGAACATGCAAAAACAAACCAAAAAAAAGAAAATAAACCAAAAGCAGCAACAACAACAACAACAATAGTGCTTCAGCTTAACACAACAGTAAATTCCAGCAAACAAGCAATACAACAGCGTGTGAATGCAGCAAAACATAATGAGTGCATTTAACATGTAATCAACATAACAGCAGTGTATACATCAACAATTAAGCAAATGCACATGTATTTGCAAGGATCAAGCATGAACATGCACCATGCATTCCATAAGTTGAACAAGTATCATAAGCACACATCAAGAATTCAAGAAATCATGAACATGTGTTGTGCAAGATTGAGCAAAGTGTATGAACATGTGATAAATGAATAATCAACTATAACGAACATGTATCAACAATAAGCAAGTGAACATACACCATGGATTTCAACAATTAATAATGCGCATGAACATGTATCCATATTAAGCATCATGAATATGCAACATCAACAATGCATCAAGAATGCAAAGCAAATAAATCATGGACATGCATCATGAAATCAACGCGACGTGTGTCGAAGAATCGCATTCATACTACAAAGTGAAGTAAAATAGCTCAAGAGATATCCACAAATATGTATTATATAAAGCCATGAGGTTTAGAGATGGAAAGGAATCCAATCAAGCTTGAAAAATCACAACAAAAAAAAAGCTTCAACAATAGTGTTAATCGATTAACCACTTTTGCCTTTAAGTTGGTTAATCAATTAACACCTTTAAAACAGCAAAAAAAAACACGCAGCAACAGTGGTTAATCGATTAACCACTTTTACCTATATTTTGGTTAATTTGTTAACACTGTAAAAAATAGCAACATAAAATTCAGCATAAAAGCACTTTTCAGCAACGTAATCACTTAATCTCCACATGTTAGAGCATGCAATTGATCATGAAAATTACATCAAATAGCAATAATTAAACACCAATTGAATCCATCAAACATCAAGATCAACAATTAAATCAATTCACATCAAAAGCCAATGGATCTATATTGTGAAAATGCAAATTAAGTAATATCAAACAAAGAAAATCCAAGATCCAATGAATTCCTAGCAAGAAAAATGAAGATTCGCGCGAAAACTAACGATACCGAAATTGCTTAGAAAATTACTTCAAGAAAGCACTTCCAAAGCTTGAATCTAGATCTGAAAACACTTCAACTTCATAATTGAATGATGGAAGAAGATGCAATTGAGATTTAGCTCAAGAATTCACAAATTGAAATAAAAAGAAGTCTCGTGCCATAAATGATGGAACCTCTGATGCTTGTTGCTTAAAAACTTGAAATAAAAAGAAGTCTCGTGCCATAAAAACAAAGCAATCACATGTCTCAAGAACTCAATGCAATGCATGATTTATTGATATGACCTAATGGAAATGTAAACGAATGTGAAGCAAAAGCCAATTATGGTTAGAAACAAGAAGGAAAATTTTGGGGTGCAACAACTGTCCCTATTCAATCAACTTGGACCTGAAGGTAAGAAGGACCATGGCATTCAGAAATTCAAGGTAGAAGGGGTTTGAATACAAAAGAATCCAAAATTTTGCACACTGTGGGGAAACAAAAAAAGATGTTTGATGTCGGTCGGGAACTGGACTTCACACAAAAGGGTTGGTCAGGAACTGGGTACCAATTGGGAACTAGATTTCGGAAAAGGTTGGTCAGGAACCAGGTATCAATAGGAACTAGATTTACAAAAGAACACCGACCAAAGGCGGACTTACAACAAAAAGACGGTCGAGAATTGAAACGGGTTGGCCAGGAACCAAGGTACCAATCTGAAACTGGATTTTGAAAAGAACACCGATCAAAGGCGAACTTACAACAAAAGGACGGTCGGGAACCGAAACTGGTTGGTCAGAAACAAGGGTACCAGTCTGGAACTAGAGTTTGGAAAGAATGTC